CTGTGGCTCTTCCTTGAGTGTCTCAAGTTTGTAAAACTGACATTTTACAAATGAAAAAGCTGAGGTTGCGGGAGGGAAGGAACTTCTCTGTAGTTGTTCAGCGAATGGGGGATGTAGGGCTTGTGTCTATGTCCTTGTACCCTGTCTGATGCTCTCATTCACAGGTAGCTGTCTTCAAGCACATAGGGCTCAGGGTAGCCAAGTGGGCAGCAGAGTCAGCAGGCCCCTGTGACTCCATCCAGGGGCCCGTGGAGAGGAAGGAGGGAAGCCTAGACTGAGCTATGGAGGCTGAGAGCTCAACTGGGTCTCAAGGGCTGGCGTGGGCAGCAGGGCAGCACAGTGGTTTGTTCCTACTGGTTTTGAGGGCTTTGAGGACGTGAGTGGGACAGGAAGCTTGCTGGTGGTGGAGGTGAGGGCTGAAAGGGACCCTTGAGGGCAGGTAAATGGGAGGTAACTGGAGGCAGGGATTGTACAAGGGAGGCAGAACTCAGGCAGAAGTGCAATCAAAACCAGAACCCTGTTATCTCCATGTCTCCTGGGAACACAGCATGGCCTTTTTGCTCTAACATGGTGCAAACTCTGCCTGAGTCAGCAGTGAAGCTTGGCATTGGCCCTGGCCTGGGAATGGGAAGTCTTCTGGCAGGGCTGTCTGACCACCTGTGGGGTGGCTGAGATTGGAGGAGACTTTTCGGAGCTCTTTTGTCCTTGTACAGAGCCTTGCGGCAACTTTCAGAAAGCTTTGCCCTGGAGTGGCAGCCATGAGCGCTTGCTTGGGGCACACACGTGTGATTCACAGGGGCTGGAGAACCCTTAGCTCATGTGGTCTTAGAGTTTGATAGATTTCACTTCACTTAGGGACCTATAGGGCTGTTCTTCAGACTCTTCCGCTTACATCTTCTGGGTCCCAGGCTCCTTAGGTGCCCTCTGACCACGTTGTCATCAACTTGCCCTCCCGACTTTCAGATCCAGAAGTGGCAGGGCTGTCTGCTGGGGCTACCTTGCAGCATTATGCCATAAGTGGGAGCTGGATGGGTGGATGGATGAATAATAATAAACGAATGCATGAGCTAGTGGGTGAGTGAAAGAATGAATGAACAGATGAGTGGGTAGATGGATAAATGGATGGATGAACAGACGAGTGGATGGATGAATAAATGAGCGAATGCATGAGCTAGTGGGTGAGTGAAAGAATGAATGAACAGATGAGTGGGTAGATGGATAAATGGATGGATGAACAGACGAGTGGATGGATGAATAAATGAGTGAATGAATGAACTGGTGGGTGAGTGAAAGAATGAATGAACAGATGAGTGGGTAGATGGATAAATGGATGGATGAACAGACGAGTGGATGGATGAATAAATAAACGAATGCATGAGCTGGTGGGTGAGTGAAAGAATGAATGAACAGATGAGTGGGTAGATGGATAAATGGATGGATGAACAGACGAGTGGATGGATGAATAAATGAGTGAATGAATGAACTGGTGGGTGAGTGAAAGAATGAATGAACAGATGAGTGGGTAGATGGATAAATGGATGGATGAACAGACGAGTGGATGGATGAATAAATAAACGAATGCATGAGCTAGTGGGTGAGTGAAAGAATGAATGAACAGATGAGTGGGTAGATGGATAAATGGATGGATGAACAGATGAGTGGATGGATGAATAAATGAGTGAATGAATGAACTGGTGGATGAGTGAAGGAGTAAATGGAGGAGCGAATGTAAGGATGAATGAATAGATGAATGTGTAGATATATGTAGGAATGAATGGATGAGTGAACAAGTGAACATAGGAGCCAATAGATGATCTGATGGATGAATGAATTAATGAACAAATAAGTGAATCAATACGTGAATGAATGAGTGGATACGGGTTCATTTCATACCTGGGCTGGGAAGGTATGCCCAGGGGAGGTTCGATTGTGGGTTTGGGAGACCCATGACTTGTGTGTGCTGTAGTGCATCCAGATGGCAGCCCCCCTCTAGGCAGACACAGGCCAGCTATGTGGCCCCTCCCTCCTTGATTCCTTTCAGTCAGAGCTCAAGCCAGGACTGCACACGTGGCCCCTGCTGGGACAACTTCAGGAGCTGGTAAGTAGAGGTTCCTGGAGGGCCAGTGTAGAGCGTGGCTTTCTTGAGAACAGTGAGGGACCAAGCTAGGAGGTCATCACTCAGCTTGCCATTCTCTAGCTATGAGGCTTCTTGTGTCACTCAGTTTCCTTATCAGCAAGAGTATGTCTCAGGGGACCTCCAGGGGTTGAGTTGGAGTTTTAGACTCCAAAGGTAGGAGAGGCTGGGCTGGAGCAAGTGAGGGACTCAGTGGTTCTGTTCACACTGCAGGAAGAACTACTTGATGCAGATGTGTTCGAGCTCCCCTGCAGGCCCAGAGCTGTGGGCACTGAGCTGCACTTGAACTCGTACTGATCTGCAGCTGACCCTCCCACTCCCCATGTGGCAGGCTGGCTTTAGTCCACAGGAAAGAGGAATTTATGAAGAGTACACTCCCTGAAGTGGCTCCATGCCCTCTGCACAGGTGGAGGCATGCTGTGGATCCTGTGTCTGGTCCTCTGTGGCCTGCTGGCTGGCACTCGAGCTGACCCTGGGGCTCTTCTGAGGTTGGGCATGGACATCATGAACCATGGTGAGTGGGGCCAGGGAGACATGGGGCAGGTGATAGATAGTGATTTCTCAAGTCTGCAGGGCTTGAGCATCTACCATCTGCAAAGACAGTCTAGAAGCAACAAGCTACTCTTAACCTTCCATTCTACAGAAGGGAAAGTGGAGGCCAAGAGAAAATGAACCAGCTCTCCAAGCCTCCTCAAGTTAGATGTAGACTCAGAAATCCTGCTTCCTTCTAGTCCTTCCTTCACTCCAATGGAAGGGGCTGATGCCCATGTGTGGGCTGTGGAAGTGACAGGTGTGGCTTTGACAGCTTGCAGTGTGACCACAGGCAAGTCCTGTGCCCTGTCCGTGTTGTTTGTGTACCTGTAAATATAGAGGATACAAACAAGGTGACCAGTTTTCCCTGGCAGGGTGGAGTGATATGTGGGAGTAACCTCCTCCAGGAATTGTGACTCATTTTTCACCCTGTGCCCCGCTCCATGAAAGAGTTAAGTTCAGGTGCAAGAGGTCAATGGCGGCTTATTCAGTATTTGCTCCCTCTCTGAAAATTAGGCTGTGGCTCTGATGGGCTGTTTCTAACTGGGTACCACTTGAAGTTTGGACACCCCAGTCCTGGGAAATCAGCATCTCTTGGTGCTGGGCTCAAATCTATTGTAACCATTTCTGAGAGGAGCTGTCTGGTCACTTCCTATGCTGTCCTTCCAGGTCTCCATAGTTGTGCTCTGTGTATACCTCCTCACCCTTTAGCTAGACTCTTGCTGTCCTTACTCCTGGTCTGTTCCCTGTCCCCTCCTTTCTTCTTCCCTCCCTTCCTCTCTCTCCTTACCTAGCCCTGCCTCAGCATCCCCAGCCTCAACCCCCACTGTCTCAGTCTCCCACCCCGGCCACTCCCTTCCCTATCTCTGCCCTTGCCACACCTCTGCCTGACTGCTTGCTGTGTCTTCACTTCCAGTGAAGAGTCCCATTCTTCCTCCAAGGACCAGGTAACATTTGCCACCTCCTCCTGGCAGCTGTCCCCTTCTGTGTAAGAGTCAGTTGTCACCCTTTCTCCTCCAGAGGTTCAGAGTGCAATGGAAGAGAGTCACATCCTGGAGAAGATGGCCGCTGAGGCTAGCAATCCACAGCCGGGGGGAAAGGCCATTAAAGGCCTCAGCAAGTAAGCAGGGGGTCCACAGGGAGGACAAGGCATGGTGGGGCCTGATATAGGCAGGCATTTTTCCTGCTTTGGCCTGGGATTTCTCAGTCATGCACTGAGAACCATTCCTGCCTAGAGTCATTCAGAGGAAAAAGTGAGCTAACTAAATGATGGAGGATCTCCTTCTGTATATATGTTTCTCTTGTTGGTTGATAAATAAAACACTGATTGACCAGTAGAAGCGGGAAGATAGGTGGGACTAGGAGATGAGGAGAATGCTGGAGAGAAAGGAGAAAAAGGCCATGAGATGCTATGTAGAGACTGGGAAGATAGAACATGCCAGGTGTTCTCTGGTATGATAAGGCCATGTAGAAAAACATAGATTAGTTATGGGTTAATAGTTAAGAGAGAGCTAACCAGTAAGAGGCCCTAGCCATTGGCCAACAGTTTATAGATTATTATAAGTCTCTGTGTGTTTATTTGGGCAAAGCGGCTGTGGGACTAGGTAGAACAGAAACCTCCATCTTCAACTAAATATACATGAAATCAAGTGGAAAGAAGTTTTCTAATGGTGGGGTTGGAAAGGTGTTGACAGTAATCCAGGAATGGGGAGAAAGGGCTCCTTGCAAACACCATCATGGCTGGTTGGGGCTTCCCCTACTGCTGTCCTGGGGAGCATTCTGAGACACTATCTGGATTTAGATGAATAGGATAGGTTAGCTGTGTCTATCAAGAGCTCAGGATGGGCAGATGGAGGTATGTGTGCCACATCTTTGCAGTTATGATTTTTAAATGTTTCTGAACCAGAGGTGGCAGTGCCTCTAGGGAGGCATTTGCCTAGAGACGCTTTTGGTTGTCTCAACTTGCAAAGGAACAGGATACTGCACTTAGTATACATGAGCTGAGATCAGAGCTATTACTAAGCCCCAAACACCAAAGGTGACACTGTTGAGAAACTTGGATCCTGTCCATTCTTTCTAATTTGTTGTTGAGAGCCTGAGGACAAAAGAGGGAAAGAGAACAATAGTGCAAGGTCACATAGAGTCAGCCATGTGTCTCCCTTCACACATGAGGGTTTTCAGTACATAGATGGTTCAAGCCTAAGCCTGTGGTTTACATATCAGATGTGGGATAGAAGTTTACTGAGACCTTCTAGTGAGGTGGTAGAGGGTGGAGGAGCATTTGAGGGCCTGGGTCTTGTCTTCTCGGTTCTCATCACTGTGCATGTCTCCAAGTATGAAGGTAAAGGATGTCCTGGAACCTGTCATCACACTGAACTTCGTACCTGGAGTGGGCATCTTCCAGTGTGTGTCCACAGGCATGACCATCACTGGCAAGAGGTTGGTGTGGGAAGTAGACTGTCCCCTTGTTTCCACCTTCCACGCAATTTGCTGAGTACCCACTGCTTATTATGTGGGTGCTGGAATCTGAGGTGATTGTAGACTTGGGTTCTACTTTAATGGAGACCAGGTGGAGCAGAGCCAGAGCCCGAATCATTGGTAGCAGGGGACAGGACCAGGCAGTGGAGGGAGTGGTCAGGGAGGCTCCAGGGAGGTGATTACAGTTGACCAGTGTTTCAGATGGGTCAGAGGTCATAAAAGTAAGAGGGGAGTGGAAAGGCCCCATCCTGTTTTTTTACCATGTGGGATTCTCCCTTCTTAGATGCTGAGGTTGTGGGCAAAGGGAGTGGGCATAGTAGTCCCTGAAGCAGAGATACCAACAGTGCCTGCCTGTCTGCTTGGTGTTCTAGCTTCACAGGAGGGAACATGGAGATCAACGTGGTCCTGAACATCACAGCCACCAATCGGCTTCTGAAGGATGAGGAGACAGGCACCCCCATGTTCAGGAGTGAGGGCTGTGAAGTCGTCCTGGTCAGCGTGAAAACCAATCTGCCTAACAAGTAAGGAGTCCTGTGTCTGAGAGCATGGTGGTCCTCGCTGCCCCTCCCCATCATTCCACTTCCTGAGCCACTGAACTATAACCGTGCCCCTTTGTGTCCCTTGTCTAACTTGGTGTCATTGATGCATTGTTCACCTGCTCCCCATGCCCGCGTTTCAGCAAGGCCATCAGCAAGTTTGTGGACAGCACCCTGCACAAGGTCCTCCCTGGCCTGGTGAGTGTCCCTGAGCAATCCTCCATCCCTTCTTGGTGCAACTACTGCGTCCAGGGCAGCCAGTGAGTTTGCCCTTAGGCAGGGACCTTGATGGGCTGATAGTGGCTAAAGAAAGTTCAGTGTCTATGGCTGGCTCAGGAGAAGAAGTGCAATGATCATCTAGCAGGGTCTGCCACAAGCACAAGTATAGGCAACAACAGTGGTGTGCTCCAGCTTGACACCCCTGCTCAGTCCCAGGCCAGCCACAGGAAATGAGTCCTTGGTAATTTTTGGGTGTGCAGGCTCTGCTGTTGATGGTCCCATGACTTAGGCCTCAGCAACCATCACCCCAGCTCCAGGCCTTGCCCTGCTGGGGTCCTTAGGATTCCCTGTGGATTATGGACTCTCCCTGTTTGTGCAACCCACTCAGGTTTGTGTCTCCTTTGCTTGTAGATGTGTCCAGCCATCGATGCTGTCTTGGTGTATGTGAACAAGAAATGGATCAAGTTGACTGGTGAGGACATCCCTCTTCCACACAGGATGCCACATTAGCCGGGTTCCAATGCCAGTACCCTCCATTCACATGGATGTTTCCAGGACAAGAGGGGGCTGAGATCATGATGTTCCCACACTGTCTAGAGGAGAGGCCTGAAACCCCACAGAGCGCCTGGGTCCTTTCGTTTCTCTACCTGAATTCCAAGACAGCCGCTCCGCAGACAACCCCAGACCTCATGACCTAATAAGTCGTCTTGGCTGGGCATTCCTGAATCCTGAAGAGGTCATCTGTCTCTACCATTTGGGGCTCACAGGGCCCCCCAGGGTGGGAGAAATAAATGTAATGACTGAGCTTGAAGATCCCTTCCTGCCTTGGTGACCTTAGCAGTGGGGTCTGGGAGAAGCTGCCCACTTCCCCCAGCCTCAGTGTACTCACATGAGAACATCTCGTAATTCCAACCTCACATGTCTCATTACTGTGGCAAGAGCCCCAGTGAATGAATTCCCAGGCTCTGGGCCAGAGGAACAAAAGGTTACCAAGGTCTAAGTCACTTCTTGGGTCGCACAGAGGGACATGATGGCTCAGGAGCGGTGGCTGCTTCTGGCTTTTCTAGCTGCTCATGGGGCTGGTGCCATCTGAGTGGAACCTCTTCTCCACAGATTCCATGCCCGTGAACCAGATGGGCTCTGTCAAATATGCCTTGACAGCCCCACCAGCCACCACATCAAGTCACATCCAGTTGGACTTTAGTGTAAGTATGAGGATCACCATGGTGCTGAGCTCAGACTTGGTGGGGGGCTGGTGGGGCTGATTCTATCCGACAGGTGGCTGAGAGGTGATGAGTAGGAGGAGCCTGGCTATGGGGACCTCCCTCTCACCCTGCTCAAAGTGAGGCTGCTAGGGCTGGTGGCTTCTATCTCGTCTCTTACAGGACTGTTTCTCAGAGAGTGGCTGTATCCTGACATTGTATAGATGGGTCACTGAGACAAGGAAAGGCTTCTGCAGTGAGTTAGTGGCAGAGTTGGGTCCTCACACACATGAGCAAGCCTCTTGCAAGAATGTAGATGAAAGGGCCAGGAAGTCACCCCCAGAGTGGTTTTCCTCCTGCCATGCTGGGGCTGATCTCCTTGCTTGTGAGAATGATGTGGAAGGGTTCATATCATGCTTTGCACACATAAGGGCCCAAGCCAGAGTCAGAGTCACTCTTAGGAGATACTGCTCGGGACCTAGTGACTGATGCTCTCATCTTCCCACCTGCAACCTGCTCTGCCCTAATAATGTCTTGCTGACTTGAGGTCTGACCTGAGCCCCGTGGTTGGAGAACAAAGACTCCCCTGGCTTCATTCCCGCCTGGCTGAGTGTCCCTCCTGTTGTATCCCAGCCTGTGGTGCAGCTTCAGGAAAGCCAGGTTATCCAGCTTGCTGCTGATGGGTCAGTCCCGGAGTTCCCCGAGGGCTCGGCCAAGGGCTCACAGCTGCTGCTCTCAGCCTCCTTTCTCACAGCCGAGCTGGCCCTTCTGCAGAAGTCCTTGGATGTGAACCTCAAGGACAAGAGGGTGAGCCACCACTGCACTCCCCTGCTTTGCTTCTGGAGTGACAGGCTCTGCCTGCCTGCTGTACCTGGGAACGACACAGGGGTCAGATGCAGAACCAGCACGGGAGATGTGGGGCTGTTTGGGGCTTCAATGGCCCCTGCCTGCCACTCACTCCTTTGCTCAAGTGACCTGTGTCTACTCATCTGGACAGCTGACTGTCCGTACAACCAACCATTTAGTGACCCACCTCCACTTTTTCAAAAGTCGTAAAACCATGCACATTGGAGGTCAGAGGGCAGCTTTCTGAAGTTGGTTCTTTCCTTCCACTGTGGGTTTCGGGGACTGGGATCAGGCCAAGGCTTGTGTGGCAAGAGGTCTCACCCTCTGAGTCGCCCCGGCACCCCTTTTCCTACATTTCTCATGCCCTGGCAGCCACTACCTCACTTTTACCCAAATCATCACCCACCCACTGTGTCTTCACGACCTGGTTCATCCTTCTGTCACGTCATACCGTCAGCGCCACAGACGGGGGAGAAGTGTGCCACTCCATCACCGTAACCACACAGCTCTTGCCATGGTCCTTTCTGCCACTCACCTGCTCATTCAGCTGGGTTCCAACCTGTGCATCCTTCCCCCTTTTCCACTGCTCCATCACAGCATCTTAGCACCCATCCTCTCACTGTCCGTCCATCTTCTCACCAAACAGTCCACCTGTCTTCTCCCCAGGCACCGTGTGCTTTCCGCTCAGCACTCCATTCCGCCCACCGGCACTCCCTCTGCCCACCCTCCCCCACCCCACCGCTCATCTGATGTTCTGTCCCCCTTCCATCTGCCTGTCTGTCTCTGAACCAGCCTTGCCCTCTTGTCCACCATACCTGGCCATTCTCCCATCTAACTTCCTGCTTTTCCATGCAGCATTTCCTCAGCATTTGACAACAAGGGTCGGGAGCCACGGGAGCTTGGGTGTGTAAATGATGGTTGGGGGCTGGAGGTTCCTTCCTTAGTTGAGCACAGTTGTGTGTGCAGGCGAAGAAAGACTCTGAGGCCCCACCCTCCTGAGGCAGAGAGGTGGATGTCGGGATAACTGGACCTTGCACAGTGTCCACTCTGACTTTGAATTGCAGGTTGGTAAGCTGTCACAAACCACTAGGACACTGGCTGGCTTCATCCCGCAGGTGAGTGCCCCAGGCCCCTGTGACCACTGCACTCACGTTGACCTCCAGGCAAAGGGGACTGGCTTGGGAGGCAGCTGTTCAAAGTGTGCATGCCCTTCGCCCATTGTGGAGACAACCTTTCCACAGAAGCACCCTCTGGGTTCAGCCTATACAGCTCAGCCCTAGTATCTTGTGAGTCCTGTGCTCATCACAGAAATAGCTAAAATGTCATGTTTTGCCCCGTTCCTTTCCTAAGAGGAACAACCAGGTCTTTGCATATTGGACTTCCAGCAGAAACCAGCTACTTCCTGAGACACCCTTGGGCTGAAGTCCAAGGACTGGCTCTGAGAATATGCCTTGCTCTTGGTCTTTGCAGGTAGCCAAGATGTATCACAAACCAAAGCCTTTGCTGATCAAGGTCAAGATAAACAACCCACCCAAGGTCACCATGAAGGCTGGAAAGAGCCTGATGCACCTCCATGGTAGCCTGGAGATGTTTGCAGCACGTCGACATGGCAAGCACCCAAAGTCACTCTTCCTCCTGGAGACTGTGAGTGGGGCCCATCAGTAACCTCTCTCTTCTTGCGGATGCCCCCAGCCTGGAGGATGCTAGGATTTTAGTTAAGAGTCAAGACACAGATGGAGTGACCTGACCTTAGGCATTACCACCTGCTGTATGGTGGTTGAGTGCCTCCTCTCTCCCTCCAACACTCCTCAGTCAGCCTGCTCCAGGAGAACTGTGGAATCCTGAAGAAACCCCACACCCAGGGCTGGCTGAGAGATGCTTAAAGGGTTGAACAGTAGCTATGCAGGGGAGAAATTGATGTTGAGAAGCCTGGGGACACCCTAGTCAGAGAGTGAAGGCTCAGAATTGTTATCACCATGTGCAGACATTAGCCATGGGTCAGGTGTTTATGAAGGTTCATGCGTGGAAGTGTGGAAAGGCTGCTGGGTTCAGTTCCAGGACAAGACAGGAAGCAGAGGGCAGAGGTGCCAATGGAGGACCCATTGTCTTCTCTGCTCCCTCCCCTATGCCAGCACCTTGGTCTGGAAATCCACTACTCAGTGCGTGAGAACAGGCTACAGATGGCCACCTCTCTGGACAGGTAAGAGTTTTGATCCCATGATGACGTCCCTGTAATAATCCTGACTCTATTCCCCATCTCACACCCTCTATCTCTCCTTACCATTTACAACACACACTGGTGGACAAGTGCATCTCTATGCCACTATTACCACACTACTCTGACCACTGTCTACTCTTCCTCTTGCCCATTCTTGTGGTGCTTCTTGCCTTCCAACTCCAGGCTCCCGCCCAGATCCATCCACCATAGCCCACACTACCAGGCTGCTCTGGTCATGTAGCCTGCTCTAGAGCCTTCAATGGCTCTGTACTTCCTACATGGTCTTACCTTAAATCTTAGCTTGACACTATGAGCCCTTCTCAAATCTTCTTCTGTCTTCACTCTTCTGCTTTGCTCTTTCAGAGTGAATTTGGATTTGGACCTTGGTCCCCTCCATTCATAGGTCTTTGTCATTTCTTCCAAATGAGCCAGGGCCCAGCTCCATTGCTATTACCGCCAGGGTATCTTTAGCTCTGTGTACTTTCTCTAGGAAAGCAGTGGCCATATACCTTACTGCCACTATCCTGCTTCATTCTTATACTCTCTGGGAAAGGACTCCTTACATCCAGTTTTACACCCAGCCGCTCACTGATTCCTGTACTCATCTCAGTAATTCAAATGAATTGAATTTTGTCTTTCAATGGCAAGAGACAATGTTCTAGCTGGAACTGCTTTACAGCCTGAGAAGGAATATTTCAGCTCATGGACATTGGGATCAAGGCACAAAAAGTTCTCAAGAATATGGCTTCCTCCCTCCCTTCCTTTGCTAAGCTCTTTGCTGCCTAAATTCTCAGACAGTTCCTCCCACCAGGTGGTAAAGGGACCCCAACAGCAAGAGGACTCCTGGTCCAGTAGTTCTCATAGTCACCAAAGGTTGGAGTCTAGTTTGGGTTCTGTGGGTAAGGCTAGACCAATCACAGTTACCAAGAGATGGAATGCTTGGGTGACCTCATCCTGGGCTGTTGTCTCTGCTGGGGATTGTCTGCCTATATGGCTGGCTTAACATGATTGCAGAGATGCAGAGTCTTGTGCTAAGATGAAGTGTGGACAGGCAGAGTCCAGATGACTGCCCATGGCCTGTTCTGGTGCTGGTGTGTGTCAGTGTCTCCCGGGAACTGTGTTGGGGAGGGGAAAAGAACTTCCCTTGTGTCCTTCAAGGATCTGAGTCTGGCCTGCTGGGTTGTGGATGGAGTTGTGGACATAACCAAGGACCCAGAGTTTGGAAGAACAGGGTTCACGAGAGGCCATTAAGGAGGGCTGTGAGCTGTGAGGACAGAATGGGAGGTAATGAGTGATGGTCACCATCCCATCACAGATAATGTGCAAACAGGATGCAGCGAGGACACCTGTGGAGGCTGTGAAGCTGAGGAGCCCCTGTCTCAGTGGCTTTGACCGTGCTACCCCACATCCTCCCCTCTCCTTTACAGTTTACTGAGCCTGTCCCGGGAGTCTTCTTCAGTTGGCAACTTCAACGTGAGTGTTCCGAGTGCTCCTGCCTAGCCATCTGAAGGCAACACTGAGCATACAAGGGACGGGCCCTTCAATGGAGCCACAGTAAAGAGAGCAAGGACATTCATATGCTTTGGGGCTCCTGACACACTACCTGTCCCTTCTGAGTCCTTGTTCCCTTTCCCAGATAGAACCTGGATAACTCTATGGATTGATTCTAAAAGTGTCACCATGGTAGTGGCCTGGCTGTTATTTCAATTAGTCTTTAGACACAGGGCGCCCAGCACAGGGTCCCAGCACAGCACCCAATCAAGCAGGTACTAATATGACATCAGCAACTATCCTTATGGATATGTGAGTCCTCCTGGAAGCCTGTGAGTAGACACTGCCATAGCTCACATTCGCGGGCCCAAAGAGCTGGTGGATGCACGGCCAGCAAGAGCTCTCAGTTTTCTGTCAGATCAGGAGTGCTGGCCACACACAGCCTCCTGCCTCCTGAGTGTCCCCTTTCCTGCTGCAAGACCCATTGCCCTGCATGTCACCTGAACAGGGATTAGAAGGGTGGCAGAGCCCAGCCCCGAGATCTGAGGCTGGCTAGACAAGCTGTTTGCTGTCTCTACTGTTCTCTTTTGTGCTCTTCAGGCCTAGGTGAGGATAGGTTGAGGAGGTGCTGAACTGTGTTGGAGTTTCCTTGTGTCTCTTCCAGGAGGCGGAGTTAACCGGCTTCATCACTGATTGTCTCCAGAAGGCCTACATCCCTGTGGTGAATGGTGAGGCTTCTCCAAGAATCAGGACACACTTCACTAAAGTGGCTTCCACCTGTGTGGTCTCAAAGCCTTGGGAGTAAAGGACCAATGCCTAAACATTGAGGCCAGTGAAGGCTTAATGTCACCTTCTTGGAGATCAAAGCCCGTCTCATAGTTTGGGCTCTGTCCTTGTCTTCCCATCTTGAGTGAGATTTTGGCTAGCAATATAAATGTAAGATAGACAGGTGCTGTCCGCCTGTGTAGCCAGCAGACATGACTCGATCATGACACTAATTCCCACCATTCAGCTCCAGGCAGCTTCTTAATTGATCGCAAGCAGTTTTCCTATGTTTATTTCTCAGATGTACTCCGTGTTGGGCTTCCACTCCCAGACCTTCTGGCTATCAATTACAACCTGGCTGAGTTGGATATAGTAGAGGTAAGGGAGGGCCTGGGCGTGGTCATGTCAGTTAACACCTCGGCCAATGGGAGATCAGCAAGAGCTGGCCTCTGGCCACCTGGAGGGGAAGGGTGGGAGAAAGCAGAGGGTCACCACTGTAATCCCTCCAGTCCCAGAACAAGGTCCTTGGCTAGGCTCTCACAAAAGGGTACTCCATTTTACTACTCTCTTGCTCTATCACCATGATCTCTCTATGTCCTTCCCCCATTTCTGGGTTTAAATGGGGGTGAAAATGTGGATATCAACCTCATAGAGCTGTTCTGATTTTCTGAGACAATAAATATGAAGGCATATAGTAAGTGCTCAATAAATACAAGCTTCTTGTTGCATGTTAGACTTTGAGCATGGAGTAAATTAAGTGGACATTTCTTTTGTGCCCTGTCTCTACTCTAGAAGGTGGCAAGGCATGTTCTTATTTAACAGTTGAGAAAGTTAAGGCTCAGAGGGGCACAGGTACTTTCCAGGTCACAAGGCCTTTGCTTATATAGTGTTGCTCCATCTCCTAGCCATGGGTGCTTCCATCTGTTCCTGAGCCTGGGCAACTCCTTTCATCACTCCCAAGCCCCTCTTTACCCAGCTCTCTTCTCCCATCAGGATGCCCTGGTGCTGGGCTTGAAGGTGGAATGACATGGCAAGACTCTGACAACTGCCTTCAACTGCATGGTTCTGTACCAGCAAAGAAGCCCAGATGGGAGCCAGATGGGCCTGGACCTGCCACCAGCGGTTGCTTTCTGTGACCAGGAGAAAGCAGAGGCCTGGTGGGCCTCAGTAATAAACGGGAAGAGGACTCTCACACAATCCAGTGTTTCCGTCTCTTTTTGTAGCCAATGAACATGTGATGTTTGGTCTCCTTTGATGGGTTTTAGGGTCTAAGACCTTAAAGGGAAGCTGGCCCAGCCTTGGGGTGGGTTAGAAATGTGGCAAGCATATGCTGATAGTTACTCTTCATTCTTTCCTTGCCCTCACTCATCCAGAACCCATTGGAAAGATAAGTAGGGTCAGCCCTATTCACTGAGCAGATGGCAGAAGCCCAGGGTGGCACACTTCCTGTCCAAGGCTTTCCTGTCTCAGCTTTGTGCCCTAGGTCTTGGTAACCTGAAGATGTCTCTATTCATGTGAAGCCCATGCCCCCAGGAGTCTCTCCATGCTACCTCTTTTAGTCCTTCCTTATGGTTGAGGAGGTGACTGTCAACATATCACAGACAGGGAAGTTGAGGCTCAGAGTGGCTTGATTGGCACATCAGGACACAGGGCTGGGATTGAAACTTGGGCTCTGCAGCTAGCCTGCTTTGGCTCGACTCAAGTCTGCCTCTTCATTGATGTGTGTTTTGGTTGAATCGTGGCACCAACTAGGAGCCTCATTTTCCTCAACTATGCCAGTGCCAATCCCAGCAGGGATGCTGTGAAGCTTGTATGACTGGCATCATAGGGAGTGCTCAGACAGCATCTGACATAAAAAGAGCCAGCTCAGGTGGGGTTCAGAGGCCTCAAGAAAATTGTCCAGGTGTCTCTGAGCTGGGGTGTGGCTGGCCATGCACAGTGGGTTTGGAATCTGGGGCCACCATAAGGGCCATTAGTAAGAGAGGCATGTACCCCTCCATTTACACACAACTAGGACAGAGTGTCCAAGTGTCTCCCATCTGCACCTTCCATTTCTTGAGATCCTAATACATATTTAAGTTTCATTTTTTTGTTGTGCTAGGGGCCTCACACAAGCCAGGCAAGTACTCTACCATTGAGCAACATCCCTATCTCCATGATTTTTAAATTGCTTCTTTTAAATCTAAGTGCCCATTTACACGAAGCTAAGTTACTGTGTATATTTTAAGTCAGTGCTGAAAATGAGTATAACCTGCTAGAATGAAAAAAATCATACAAAAGTAGCCACATTTAAAAAAATATGTAGACTGGACATCTCCTATGACCTACTGTTGATCAGCCCTGGAGATCATTGGGGTAGCGGCTGAGGGTCTGTGCATCCATACTCCAGGGTGTCCATGTGTCACAACACTCGTGTTTGCACACAGCAAGCCTCTGATGTAGGAGTTGGGGACAGATGTGGGTGTGGGTGGGCCTAAGTTTGGCGCATGCAAGTACCTGTGTTGTGCACAGAGGCTGGCCAGGCCAGTGTTCCTCAAGCCCATGGGGACTGGCAGGTGGCTCTCTTCCAACCTGGCATAGATCCATACCACAGAGGAGGAAGGCCCGGATGCCGGGGCCATGCCCTTGTCCCTCACCGTCACCTAATTCCATCAGCCATTATCCGCTGGGCTGTGGGACAATAGCAACTTTGAGGCAGTGCTGGCAGGTCCCGACGTCTAGCTAATCCATGGGTGGTGACACTTGACACGGGGCCCATGCTCTAAGTCTGTCCCTGTGTATTCAAGAACACACTCATAGCCACTTACAGCCATCTTCCGAGGTTCAGTATGCAGCTGGGAAACCAAGACACGATGTGTTAGAGGGGAGGCCTGGGTTCTACTGGGACCCTAGACGTGGTATAACTCTCACCTGCCTGGATCTCTGTTTCTCTGGGAAAGGTCTGGATGTTTGCTGTGTGGTCGAACCCTTCAGATTGACTCTGGGAAGAACAGAACCAGGCAAGAGAGCTTGGTGATCCTACTCCTGGGGCTCTATAACAGATGTCCTCTGTCCCTGGGCTCTCTCACCTTTCAAGGCTTCCCCAACCCTAGCCAATGAAAGGGAGGTTTAGAGAAATGAGGTGACTTTTCCAGGGGCCCACACACATATGTGAGGCTGGCCCTGAACTCATCTGCCTGAGTCCTGTCCAGTCTCCTACCCACTCCTCTCTAAGCTCTGAGCACTGGATATATCATGTAAAGAAACAGATGCACGTTCACAGACAGGCAGGAAGCTGAGCTAGATCTTCAGTGCCAATCCGCAGTTACGAATTCCCAGGGACCTGGCAGGAAAGTTGACCTGGGAAGGACACAGTGATGCTTCTCAAAGTGGTGTCCCACCTACCCTGCCTCTCCATTCTTTGACCACTACTTGCTCAGGTGCCTCCCAGGATGTTACCATCGTTGGAGCCTCTCCAGCACCTTTGTCTCCCCCATTCCCTAATGTTCTTGCCCAGCGCCAGTCGGCAGTAGGAGCAATCACAGGAGACAAGCCCTCTGCAGATGGTGAAAATGACTCTACAAGGCATGTCAGCCATTAAGGATAAACCCTAGGGATGCACAGGTGTCAATGCCTGTGCAAGGGGTGGGGGTGCCTTTTGCCTCCTCTTTCCCGATCCCCTCCATGGCTCCCATAACCATCACCAGGCCTGCACACCACCTTCCTAAACATGTAGGCTACAGCCCTCAGCCTGGTGGGTGGGGTCTGTGAAAAGTAGGACCCTAAGATAGCATTTTAATGAGTTTCCTCTACAGACAGAACCATCCCTGATCCTTCATGAGGTGGTGGGGATACCTGGGCTGCAAGTAGGGTTGGAGACCTTGGCAGGGTGGTATAGATCTGGAGGAAAAAGAGAGAAAGCAAGCCAGAAACCAGTAGCATTTTCCTGCCTTCTGAGAGGGTCAGAATGGAGTGAGAGAGCTTCTTTTTTTTCTCCCAGGAGATTTTTTTGAGACAAGGTCTTTCTAGGTAGCCTAGGTTGGCCTCATATTCACAGCAATCATTGTGACATGGTGAAAGGGGGTCCTTCAAGACAGTAGTGCCTATGTCCTTCTCTGAGGTTCCCCGTCCCCTCATGCTCCTTCTTGTCTATGTCATTCACTGGAGGCTGAGGCTGGATTATGGTGGTCTTGGGACAGCTGCTCTCCTTTGGCCTGGCTTTGGCTCCTGTGGGAGTAGGAAATGATAATAGAATTAAGCTCACTGGATCAGGATGGCACCACATGCGGCGACACAGGCAGAGGCTGTGTGCACAGTCGATGCTGAATAAACGAGGGAGGTGCTGTTCCTTCTTCCTCCTTCAAAGTGTCTTCAATGCATCGTGGCTACCGGGTGTTGGCAGGCCTGATGAAGCAGCAATGGTGGCACACACCTGGCTAGGAGTGAGGGACCCTTAGCATGACCACTCAGGTGAGGGGCCACTTAGCATGACCACTCAGGTGAGGGACCCTTAGCATGACCACTCAGGTGAGGGGCTACTTAGCATGACCACTCAGGTGAGGGACCCTTAGCATGACCACTCAGGTGAGGGACCCTTAGCATGACCACTCAGGTGAGGGGCCACTTAGCATGACCACTCAGGTGAGGGGGCACTTAGCATGACCACTCAGGTGAGGGGCCACTTAGCATGACCACTCAGGTGAGGGACCCTTAGCATGACCACTCAGGTGAGGGGCTACTTAGCATGACCACTCAGGTGAGGGACCCTTAGCATGACCACTCAGGTGAGGGACCCTTAGCATGACCACTCAGGTGAGGGGGCACTTAGCATGACCACTCAGGTGAGGGGGCACTTAGCATGACCACTCAGGTGAGGGGCCACTTAGCATGACCACGCAGGTGAGGGACCCTTAGCATGCATGACCACTCAGGTGAGGGACCCTTAGCATGACCACTCAGGTGAGGGGCCACTTAGCATGACCACTCAGGTGAGGGACCCTTAGCATGACCACTCAGGTGAGGGACCCTTAGCATGCATGACCACTCAGGTGAGGGACCCTTAGCATGCATGACCACTCAGGTGAGGGACCCTTAGCATGACCACTCAGGTGAGGGACCCTTAGCATGACCACTCAGGTGAGGGGCCCTTAGCATGACCACTCAGGTGAGGGGCTACTTAGCATGACTACTCAGGTGAGGGGCCACTTAGCATGACCACTCAGGTGAGGGACCCTTAGCATGACCACTCAGGTGAGGGACACTTAGCATGACCACTCAGGTGAGGGACCCTTAGCATGACCACTCAGGTGAGGGACACTTAGCATGACCACTCAGGTGAGGGACCCTTAGCATGACCACTCAGGTGAGGGACCCTTAGCATGACCACTCAGGTGAGGGACCCTTAGCATGACCACTCAGGTGAGGGACCCTTAGCATGACCACTCAGGTGAGGGACCCTTAGCATGACCACTCAGGTGAGGGACCCTTAGCATGACCACTCAGGTGAGGGACCCTTAGCATGACCACTCAGGTGAGGGACCCTTAGCATGACCACTCAGGTGAGGGACCCTTAGCATGACCACTCAGGTGAGGGGCCACTTAGCATGACCACTCAGGTGAGGGACCCTTAGCATGACCACTCAGGTGAGGGACCCTTAGCATGCATGACCACTCAGGTGAGGGACCCTTAGCATGCATGACCACTCAGGTGAGGGACCCTTAGCATGACCACTCAGGTGAGGGACCCTTAGCATGACCACTCAGGTGAGGGGCCCTTAGCATGACCACTCAGGTGAGGGGCTACTTAGCATGACTACTCAGGTGAGGGGCCACTTAGCATGACCACTCAGGTGAGGGACCCTTAGCATGACCACTCAGGTGAGGGACACTTAGCATGACCACTCAGGTGAGGGACCCTTAGCATGACCACTCAGGTGAGGGACACTTAGCATGACCACTCAGGTGAGGGACCCTTAGCATGACCACTCAGGTGAGGGACCCTTAGCATGACCACTCAGGTGAGGGACCCTTAGCATGACCACTCAGGTGAGGGACCCTTAGCATGACCACTCAGGAGAGGCACAGCTGTTGTGGTTATGCAAAGTGGTCCCTCACTCCCACTCAGGCTTGTGAGTGGACTCATGGACTCGGCTCCTGACTGTTCACCCAAGAAATGGAGGCTGTAAGTACACATCCATAGAAAGATGTGGCAAAATGTG